ACAGCTGCAGTCTCCCAAGCCGGCTCTAACTATTAGTTAGAGCAGGGCTCAAAATTTCAAGTCCTGAGCTACTAGCCAGGCCTTAAGAAGAGTATATTTTACTTTCCCAATACTTCTCCTTTAATGTTTAGAGGCTGAACCAGACCTGTTAAGGATCAGTACTGATACCAGTTAATATATCCTTGCTTCTGAAACAGGAACTGTCACCTTGTCCGTTTAGGGCAAAGTGACAACATCCATGTAAAATCCACCTGCTGACAACTTTACACTTACATCTGAAGCAATCCTCACCCTCTTCATTCTTATGTTACGTGGCTGTTGCTGCAAAATACCTGGTGTTTCTAGGTATGGTACAGCATGTGACCTCCTTCCCTGACACAGAACACGGGCCTAGCAGTTAGCACTGTGACATTACAGACTGGGGACTCAAGTGAAAGCCATCTCCCAAACATATAATTGCTATTTTTCTTGCAGTCTAATAGTTTTAGCAAATTAAAGTTTAATAAGGAGTTATAAAGGGCAAGTATTATGTGCAAAGTGCAGTAATCCACAGCAACCAATCAGATTTCAGTTTACGGTAGGCAGATCAGTGAAAATTATATCTGAACAATTGCCCAAGGAATATTGTGTATTGCGCAACATTTTTGCTGGTTGCGAAATAAATAAGCTCAAAAGTCTTCAAGCATACCTCTGGATAAAAAAAAATTCCCCCTTGCACTGGGGCTACCTCTCTTCCCTCCACTCTGGCTGTGGAATGTCCCTCAGCATGCTCACATATAATACAGGGCTATGGACTCTGTGTTAGATGTGATGACCTCAGCGGGCCTCTGACCACAAAAGTGGAAATCAGGTAAGTAAAATTGCTTTAAAGAATCCTACTAGATACAAATGAGCAGTTAACCATTTCTTTAAAACATATCTAGTATATTTTAGCTCTGACAGCTTCCACATATTTACCAAACAGATGTTCGACTTTTTTAAGAAAATATACTGAACTAAAGGCACATGAGCTACTGGCAGGAAGAAATGTACATTCGATAACCCGAGGTGCACTTCAATTCTAATGACATAATGTCACAGATTTAGTTTGTGCTTTTTATGCAGTTTTTCTTTTTTTTTTTTCTAGTGTGATGTAATTTTATCGTGTGTTCTTTTGGCACATTTAAAAGCAATTGAAGATTTAAACGCAAAATATAAAACATATTTGATGAGAAAAAGAAAAGCCTGTGAGATTGTGGTGAATAGCAGTACATGAAAATTGCCAAGTGCGTGCAAATGAAGACTTATCAGATAATTAAGCACTTTTTAGTGGTGATGAAAATACAGAATAAAAATTATGAAGTGAATAGAAATACTGAAGCTGCAATTGGTATATGTCCATTCCCCTGCATGTTCAGAACAGCTATAACAGGAGACTGTGAGCAGCAGTATAGGAAGCAGAGAGGGAGATACTAATGGATGCTTGAAGACTGACATTGTGTATGTGACTCACGTTCAGTTGTAAACAGAAGACTGCACATGACATCTTAATGCACACTTAATGGGATCTCTTTGGAGAAAGTACATGTACTATATTGAAAGATTTCTCATAAACTCATCTTGATATATTTAAACACATAACAAAATTAAGTGGCTCATAATTTTCTAAAATGTGTAAATAATTACTTGTGTTTTAAAGCTGATCAAAGCAGAAAGACTACTGAGCTGATTTACTAAAGGAGTTGAGAATCTTTACACAACACAAATTGTGTAAATGTTCACATGAATTATAGCATCACATGCAAATGAAATAAGTAAGCTGGGATTTTTCCGATTGGATAATTAAAGTGAATATTCACAATTTAAAATGTGAACGTTCTCGACTTCTTAAGTAAAGTTATGTTTAATGTGCAGCAAGCTGTAGCAAACAAAGGTCACTTGTTGACTGATCTTGCAGTAAACTAAAAGCTTGACAGGTTGCTACTGATAACTGCAGCACCCACATTATCTATCTCTCCACTGACTTCTGAAGTTCAGTAGACTGGACATGATCTATCTCTAATGTGATGCCATTAAAAATGACAATTCCGAAATCCATGAAAGAGACATTCTGCAAATACTGATAAAGGCCTTGACAGCACTTTCTAAAAGTGACAACCAAAGCAAGGGTCTGCATTCACTACAATCACATGATCAGTCTTAGGGGTCATTTCACAAGGAGACATGTTATTGGCTCTCTAAAGTTGTTAATTTACCTCTCCTTATTTTTCGTTTTAAAAGATGGTATTCACGAAAGTCCCAATCATTACTTAGCATGCTCATTAAGGCTTCCGACTGGATTGTTAGGTGTTGCTATTTTTACATGTCTGCGTTTATTTCAGCAAATGAAGCCTTATTTTTATGTCTTGAATCACAGAATTTACATGTAAGGTGTTAAAATACATTTGACTGATGCATTCTGGGACCAGGAGGGGAACAGTGCCTACAAATGATGTATTTTCAACAGACTGCACTGTTGTATGTAAACAACTTTATTACAACTGTTGGGGTTTACATGTCACATGTTTACGAAATACAACCCCACTCCAATGTTTTTGTATTTATAAAAAATTATAACAATAAAAACAAATTAAACACAGGCAAACAGTTCCATCTTCCAAAAACTGCAGAAAAGAGGCTTCACTACCAGAAGTTATCAATTTCCTCACAAATCTCCCTCTCAGAGCAGAAAATACCACCCGAAAACTGTCAAAACGACACTGAAGGAGGTGCTTATGTAACGATTGTCTAACTCTAAGTGTGAATTGCACTTCTGTACATGTTTAACGATTAGGCTTGTTAAAGTAAAGCTTAAAACATTAAATAACAAGCTTCATGATAAAATATCACTTCAGAGAAGAAATACGTTAATTGGTGGATTTTCCAAGCGTTAAATTGTTTGGTGAATTGCACAAGCTTACATAACATGCAAGTGAAATCAGGAAAAAAAACTTTGAGAATTGACCTCTATGTGTTTAAAAAAACAGAAGCCGCAGCCCCAGAACCCCCTTTATGCATGCAAGAATCTTTGAATATATTTTAACTAGGATAAAACTGCTGTTGCATGGGATGTCTATGATTTAAATAAAACTTCTGGTTAGACATTTGGAAAAAGCAATGTGTATAAATCAACTAAGCATGGGTATGAAAATTCCGGAAAGCCCTAAACATGAACAAAATCCTGCTGCAATACTTGGAAGTAAGAGTAATAGGAATTTTGTCATTTTTAGAAAATTGAAGAGGACTGTAGAATAAAAGGGAGAGTGATATTTTTAGTATCTTTAAAGTGACACCAAACTCAGGAGTTAAACCTCAATAATACATTTAAGTACCTCAACTATTAACAAGATTGTATCTTATTTATGTATCACTCGGCTGTAGATCCTCAAATCATCTCTGAATGGGTGCCGACACTGTCCTTCCTTCTGGAAGGTGGCTGCTTTTGTTCCCCATGGTCCCTGTGTGTGTTGTAAAGTAGCGAGCGATCAAAGCTCGCTCCCATAATGGACTACAATCTCGCTCCCATAATGGACTGCCTGCTGTCACTAGGCAGAGGAGGGACCTGAAGGAGAAAATTCTCCTTCAGGTTCCTCCTCTGCTGATTGACAGCAGGCAGTGGGCCGATGCAAAAGCCAGCCTACTTTTGGCCACTGCAATTTAAAATAGCCTATTGCTGCCAGCCGCTGGATTGAAGATCTATCGTGGCTGGCAGCAGGGGCAAAGGGGGGGGGGGGGGGGGGAGAAGGGGGGGGGGGCAGGAAAAGGAGAGGGAGAGGGAGGAAGAGAATACCCTTGAAGTGAGGAGTCAGGACAGCCGTCCCGCAACTGAGAATTAGAAAACGATTTTGGGTCGCCGAGGGGGGAAAGGGGGGGGGGGGGGGGCAGTAACGAGGGTGGCATGAGGGAAATGCATCTCTGTTTTTTCTCCCACCGCCACAGCCACCACAATAACCATGCCGTTCCCCCTCACCGCTGCAGACTCAGGGTGTCAGCGGTCTCCCCACACAGGCTGTAATTGGCTACAGAGATTGGTGTCCCCTCCGACACAGACCGCTGCAGCCGATTACAGCCTGTGAGGAGAGACCACTGAGTCTGCAGCCGGGAGGAGAACGGTATAGTTAATGTGGCGGCAGCGGCGGTGGGGGATGAAAGAGGTGCAGTAAATGGGCTGACAAAAGCCCAGGCGCCAAGACGCAAATTCTAGTCGCATTGGCGACTTAGCGCCTGGTATTTGTCGATCCCTGGGTTAGAGGTCATCTGAAGTCTTCCAGTTGCTGGCTTGCCCAGTTGCTACTAAAATAGCTGATAATGTTAACTCAACAAATTGTGTGAACTTTCAATAAGTAAACAGGAATCTACTTTTGAATTGACTGGATAATTGAAGTGAATCTTCACTCTCTTTTTGAGTCTTTTTGAGTGAACATTCTCAACTCTGTTGGTAAATCAGCCTCACTGTCTCTCGTCATTTTGTAATGTATGAGATTAGGTGAATTATTCATAATCAATCATTAGTCTAGTCATGATTACCATTTTTAATAACTTATTTATCTCTTTTCTCAAACAAGGGTCCCTGAGATACCTTCTTTAAAATGATTATTAAAACAGTTGTATTTATTCTTGGCAGAGGTGTTTTTTAAATGATCATAAATCAACTACCTACTTATCGGCTTCTTTATATCCGGGGCTTCAAGGAGCAGAATCAGAACCAAGGGCAAAAGCTATGGTGTGGGGGGTGTCAGCTACTGTATGAGGTTTTTATCCAAATTAGCAAATTACCAAAGGCATACTAATGACAAAAGAAAGTTTCAGTCACCTGTCTCAATGTAATTAACGGCAATAATACACAAGTAAAGCTGGACTAGGTTATAAAAATGTGTGCACAGAATTCAAATGTATTGTTTTTGAAAGTTGCCTGGAGCAATAAAGCTTCCGAAAACTTGTCAGTTTGACCATTTACAAAGTTGCTTTTTTGTTAAACATACCTGGGAGAGTATCAGCTGCCTATGAAATTTAGTTACAAATTTCTTCAGAAAAGAAAAATATGCTTCTTGACCCATAATATTTGCAAGATATCGAAGCAGAAAATAACCCTGGAAAATTGAGAAAATACATTTAACTCCAGAAATATTTGACATCAATGCTTTTTTGGTAAAGAGAAATCTTAGCCAGTTACCTTTAAATAATGCACTTGCATAAAGGCCTTGTCTGCATTTAGTCCGTGTCGCACAACAGAAGCTCCAGAGTCACTCACTTCCCCTGTGCTATCACCTTGAGGCCTGATAGTGTGAGAAATAAGAGCTGTGCCATTATTTTCATTTACAATAGATTTTTATTGAATTTTCCAAGAAAAAAAAAAAAAAGAACATCTATAACATTACAAAGATGTGTTTGTTAACATTCAACTGTATGTCTCTGTTATTGACAAGTACATGGAGTCCACAATTTACCTTTATTTCAGAAAAATAAAAAAAGTAAAATACTTTTAATAAAATGCTGGTTAAATTAAAACCTTTGCATGCAGGGCAAAGCAATAGGTTTGCTCAACTTTACAGCTGCATAAACTTACCTTACCTTTTGCTATTCCATAACTCTTGTTGCCCACAGAGAGATAAAAAGGAAGCCCTGTGTAAGATACAAGTTCAGTGGCCCATCATTAACCACCAGCGCTGTCACACAATAAGAAGGGGAGTAAGTCATATGCTCCCCATAACTAGACATACAGGGTAATTCATTTCACACGGAAGCAAAGGGAAGGTGGGAAAGGTGGCATTTAGGTAAGCATTTTACTTTACCTTGCACAGATGACTTTTAAGAGGTTCTCCAGGTAAAGGTTATTTATTTAAAGAATAGACTTTATTTGATTTAACAAATGAGAAAAAATAAAAGAAATTGATAATACCCATATATACGGTAGACCCAAGGGATGCTTGGAGATTGGTACACACCCCTGTACAACAGCAAAGTGACCTCACAGGTAGATTATGCACAAAAGCAACCAAAGTACAAGTTATGATTATAAAAATTATTAAGAGGTGTGAACAGTTTACAGAGGTTGTCAGCTTGTTCCAAATAACCACATGAAACAGGCATAAAAGACCCATAAGGAGTTAAGCACCCCAACCCCATACATGTCAACAGGGAAGGGGAGCGGTCAGAGAGAAAAGAAGAATGAAGAGAAATGAGAAAAGTAAGAAAGGTGTGGTCCAGCCACGGCAAGATCTAGCCTATGAACAAGGCCTTAAAAGTGTCAGCCTAAGCAGGAAAACTCAATCCAGGTGTTCCACATAGCAATAAATGTTGGATAATGGTCAGGCAAATTGGGCTGTATATTTCTTCATTCGCATAAGAGTGTTAAATTCCTTAACCCAGTCTTTTAGTATATTGGAGTGGTGAGAAGAGAAATTGGAGAAGGCCAATGAGTGCCCTTGGGGATAAGGATTGTCTTTGCCCTGACTTCCACTTTAATGTTCTAAAATCAAGGAAAGCTGCTGCCCCTTGCAAAGTATCACATGACCTACTGAAAGTAGGTTCCCACAAGTCATTCTCGTTCTTGCGTCAAAAAATTTACAAATGTTAACAATAAAAAAATAGATAATCCAGACAAATAGAAAAAAAGGGCTTGTGATCAATCCACCAACAAAAAGGTGACCTATTTAAATGTCGCAGCAGGTAAACTATTATTCCTAGAGCACTTTTTATCTTTCTAAATAATTAAAGTACATGTGGATGTGTGTACACAAAGAATGCATTAGATTACATGTCACCCCTAAATACATAAACATCTGATCTCTTGGAACCGCTGGCTCAAGCCATTAAACAAACAACGTTGTGGCAGCATTCAAGTCACTCTTGACAACACTCGATTTCATGCCATACAACTTTAGCAGGCCTCAGCTTTGTCATTCCTACAGAAGGGAAACATGCTCAATACTATTCCAATTATAGACTCATCTCCCTTCCTAATATTGATTTGAAGTAGAACTAAAGTCTCTCTTTTTTTGGCATAGATCTACTGCTAGCAAGCAGTAGATATATGCCCCATGATTAAAAAAAAAAGAAAAAAAGTAGGCAAATGCCTAATTACTTACATGTTCCAGCGCCGCTCGCTCACAGCTGAAGAACTCCCAGCCCCCAAACAGCTGTGAAGGAGGAAGTGAGCTGGCACATTCGCAGTAGATAACACCAAAGGTTAGAGGAGAAAAGAGACAATGAAAGTGAATGGACGCAGCCAGAGGAGTCTGCGCTGGATCAGAGACCGGCATCATCGCTGTAGGGACTCTCGAAAATGAGTGGAAGGAAGAAGATTGCATCAAGAGGCATCAAATAAGGTAAGTGCTTACAGCCAGCAGCATTGGTGGGGGTGCGGGGGGGGGGATATAGCCTTTAATGTAACTTTAAAGCTTTTTGCCAAAATCCTCACTCTGAATGGTTGTTTCCCTATCTTCAATAACTTGTCCCTCTGCATCAAGTGGGCTCCATGCACACTAGAGAAGCCTGAGATAACATTATCCAAGCGATTAACATTATCCACTGTTGAAGGCTGATTCCACTGGATTGGGCCCTCACATGCAAACATGGATAAGCTCTCAGTACTCCTCTCCTTCGTCCAAGTCCACAAAAAAGGAGTCCCTTTTTACATCAGCAATGGGATGAGTCAGGGTTGCCTCTTTTCCCCTATTCATTTTAATGCTGGAATCCATTTTAAGGACTGTCCAAGCGAACCTGAACATAACTGGGATACAACTCCATACCAACTACCACCACAAAGAGTCTACTTATGTAGACAACTTAATATTCTTCCTCAACAACCTGAATGTCACTATCCCTAATCTGATAGCTGAACTTGCAACCTATGGAGAACTCTCCATGTTTCATTAAAGGAGAACTATGGGGTCAGTGTTTTTCCCCATAGTTCTCCTTAGGGTAACGGGAGGAAACTCTCAAAGCTCTATACCTGACCCTTCCAGCAGCTACCTTGCACATATTTGAAACAAATGTTGCCTTTAAATGGATTTAATTACATATCAGTTACTTAGGTATCCAGCTCCCAAAGGACCATACAGAGCTTGTCACTTCTAACTTTGCTCCCCTCATTTCCACTTTTAGAGCCAAACTAACAACATGGGCAACACAAAGCTTTTCCTGGATGGGGAGATGCAACAATTAAACAAAATATATTACCTCAAATTCTTTTCCCCCTTCAGACGATACCAATTCCCATCCCTCTATTGTACTTCAAACCTATTCAATCTTCTCTCAATAACGTTGTAAGGTCCTCCAAACCAGCCTGTATTAAACAAGCCATCTTGCGCAGACCAAAAACATCTGGGAGCATGGCATTTCCAACATTGGGCTTTATTAAACTGCCGCTAACCTAGTGATTGACTGTTGTAGACATCATACCATGAAACAATGGGTCACCCTACCATTGCCTTGATCTAGTACATCTGCAACCAGGCTTTCACCAGATATGGAATTAATTTCCCATTCCCCCTCTTCCCTATCTTGGGGCCTTACGTTCTCCTCTAGCTTACACATTTTGTGTCTCAAGAACAAACAACGTGCCCCACACTTCATCAGGAACTCGACCTGGATGACAGCTTAATAAATGCTATATGAGCCTGACTTCTCCTCTCTGGACCCCTTGCAGATACTTCAGTTGTCACGCTAACTCAGATCCTTACCTAGTGCCCATCTTTTTTGGCACCCCATGACTCCATTAGTGTGGAAATGGCAGTCTTCCAGATCGGTAAGACAGGCACTTTCCTTCATCTCCAAATTGTTCCTCTTAGAGATATCTCAAAATCTGATTCACTGCCTAGATCAGTGGGAGTCAGATCTCCAAATACCTCTCCCACCCAGGACAAAATATTCACTCTCCTTTATCAGTCTTCTGTATGTAACAGTACCCTCTGAAGGCATATAAAATAAAAACTGTCATAACACATTTGGTTAATACAGCACACTCCTGTATTCCAGCACTAGCGAAGTCCTCTTCCCCACTATCCATCTAGCAATGGCTGCACTGAGTTACATGTATTCAACTAATGGAAGACCAGTCTAGCTCCCTCAAGATGCAAACTCCAAATTACAAAACACTTGTACTGAATACACTTCTCAATCATTGTGTAATAGAAACAGCTTCTCTCTGGTTCAGCTTTGTCAAGTCCTGCTTGGGAAGCACCTGACTCTCTGATTCACTTTCTTACCCACCATTACACTTCTTTACACACTGGCTTTGCCTCCTCATCCATCCTAGCCCACTCCTTTTCTCCCACATTCCTTCTCCCCCTACCTTTTCCCCCCTAGATAACATGTAGGTTAAAATGCAATCATTAAGTCAAACCGACTCAGCTGTGTAGAAGGAATGAAACCTGCTGAGTAAAAACCATGCTCCACTGAAGTTGAAGTCGCTGACATTTCACTGTAAAAAATCTTACACAATGGCAAGACTGAGCACAGCAACAAGACGCAGGGTGTTCTTACTACATCAACAAGGTTTCTTACAGCCAAACATTTTGAGGAAGACAGGTGTTTCCAAATGTGCTATCTGAGCTCTTCTGCAGAAGCATAAAGAAACAGGCAACAGAAAAAGAAAATGATCAGCCAAGGAAACTCATTGCATGAGATGAAAGACACATTATGCTCACTTCTATTCGCAATCAGAAGTGGCACTATCAGCTCAGACCTACAGTCCAGAGAAGTATGGTTAGAAGTAGTATTCATAAAAGATGTGCAGCTGAAAAGCTTTATTTCTGATGAAGAAACAAGGCCAAGCAACCTACTTTTGGCTGCAATAAAAGTAAGATTGTTAAGCAAAGGCTTGGAGAGCAGTCTGAGGATCAGTGTCTTCAGGCAAAACTGAAGCATGGTGGAAGTTCCATTCAGATTTGGGGCTGCATTTCTGCGCACAGAATTGGGAATTTAGTCAGAACTAATGGACTCCTCAATGCTGAAAAGTACAGGCAGATACTTACGTATCATGCAACAGCATCAGAGAGGTGTCTGAGTGCTCCCAAAGTCGTTCTGCAGCAGAGCAATGACTCCAAACATACAACCTAAAAGTCATAAAAAAGAACAAGAAATCGCGGTAGAGATTAATTGCCCCCGCCCTCATCTCAATATCACTGAGTCTGACTGGTATTACTTGAAGAGACAGAAGCAGCTTGGATGACCTAAATCCATAGACGAACTTTAGTTAGTTCTCCTAGATGTTTGGAACAACCTACCTTTCCGAGTTCCTTAAAAAACTGTGCAAGTGTACGTAGAAGAATTC